ATTTTGCATCAAAAATATTGTCGATTTTTGCGTAACCTTTTGCTAACAAGGAAAGTGACAGAGTTGTCCCTCACCGCTTTTGATGAATTGTGAATATGTTGTAGAGTAGCTCAAAATAAGAAACACGTATTTTTTTCTGTGATCTCGCACGTTTATGGGTTGAAACAATTCCTGCTGAAGCTGTTTATTCTATTTGGTTTTGACCAAATGTCGTTAAAACTGTAAAAAGTATAAAATAATGCTTTAATAAAAGTTTTATGGTATTTAACAGGCTTTATAATTGCGCACTGGGTTTTTAAAACATTTTTTAATTTATTCCCTTGTTATTATTTTTACGAATTTCAAGATTTTTGTAATGATAAAAATTATAGTTTTCCGCTAAATTTAATTATATATGATTTTATGTCTCGAAATTGCATCTTTCAGAAATAATCCGTGAATATCGCACTATATGCACCGCGCTGCACGATGCATCGTTGATGCCGCGCTTGCGTTGCAATCGTCGTGCAATCGTCGTAAAAAAGTGAAAATAAAAATGTCACGTTATTGTCGTCACGTATTTCAAAAGCAGATTCTAATTGAAAAACAAAGTTTACTAAAGTTATTGTTAAGATATTCGCTTCACATTACACCCGTATAAATAATTGCCACAACGCGCCACAACATATACACGTATATATGTTGTAACCGATAACAAACACGTAAAAATTAAACAATTAAAAAAGGAGACAAATTAAAAGACAAACAAATAAATAAAAATCTTGAAATTTTAAATCCAATTTATTTTTTTATAATATTAACACAGACAATTCAAATTAATTATAGGATCTTCTATTTTTCAATAGTAAAACTATTTGCTCGTTTATTGTATTTTATTATTCTTTTTATTATTCTTTTTACATTTATAATAATATGTATATATGTCGATACACAATTAAAACTTTAATTTCAACAACAACATATAACATAACATATAACATACAACATACATAAAATATATAAAGAATACATGAATTTTAACAGAATGAACGTATCACAAAGATAAGGTATCACAAAAATTCATGTATTCTTTATATATGCTCATATGTTGTATCTTATGTTGTATGTAACGTTATAACGTTTAAATTTTGTGATGTTTCAGCGATAATGGACACAAAAAGGAGCGAAATTCAATCTTATTACAGAGACAAAACCATTTTTATCACCGGCGCTTCCGGCTTTATGGGCAAGGTCCTATTGGAAAAGCTGCTGTACTGTTGCTCAGAAATCGACAAAATTTACATCCTTATACGGAGCAAAAAAGGTCATAACATCGATATTCGACTCAGCAACATATTCGATTTACCTGTAAGATATTGTGGGAATCCCGTTAACTCTTTTTTATCTAATGTCGCGTAACAAAATATCATGATATGCATTTCGAATATTTGCAAATGTCGCAATATATTTGTACCTTAAGCTACATTTGTTATATTTTTTAACACTTAATTAAATTTTATATTTACTTAGTAATCAATTATTAATTATTACACAATAATATTAAAACAACAAAAAAAGATTTGCAATAATCATAATTAGTTTACAAAATTTAGTGATTTTATTTACATGATTTTATTAATTTAGTATTCCCTTTTTTTAATTTTTAAAGACACTTAAGTTTAACATATTTATAATAATGTTTATGTTTATATTATTCTATAATAATCTTTTAATTACAACTATAATTTTTGCTACCATAAAAATTTATTACTTAATTTTTATCATAAATAATTCATGTTTTTTTAAATCAGGTATGAAACTTTTACGAATGATAGTACACATTATGTAAATTAATAACAAATAATGGTGATAATTATTGATATTTCTATAGTTGTTTCAAAGAATCAAAATGGAGAAACCTAATGTCCTTCAAAAAGTGATACCGTTAAACGGCGACATAACTTCGGACAATTTGGGTCTCACTGAAGAGCAGCGAGAACGTCTGATAAACGAAGTACATGTGGTATTTCATTGCGCTGCATCTACTCGCTTCGATTTGAAATTAAAAGACGCCATCGAGATGAACACTGTAAGATATTAGCTCTACAATTTAAAAAAATCAACGTCAATAACTTAAGGTTACATTTGTTTTTTTTTTTTTTCTGAAAAAATGTCTTTACGTTGCGCTGATTACACCGTACTTACATTTAGATTTTGTATTCATGAATTATATACTTAACGTTATATAAAAAACGTGTTGACATTTAAATGCCAAAGCAAATAAAACTTACTTAATTTCGCGAATCTATTTTCCAAACCTAAATTTATGCATAATATTTTACACAATATCTAAAATGCATGATATCTGATTTAATCCTGCAGATAAGTACAAAAAGAGTACTGGACTTGGCAAAGCAAATGAAGCAACTGGAATGTTTCCTGCACGTAAGCACGACTTTTAGTCACGTCGAACAAGAGGAACTTGCCGAACGTATATATGATTCCCCTCATAATCCCCACGATGTTATGAAAATCGTTCAATGGCTGGACGAAGAAGCTATCGATCTTCTTACACCAAAGTAATTAAATTAACGATCTTATTAATCATTAATAATAACATATTGATTAGTATATTTATTATAAAACTAATTATAAAATAAAATTATAAAATAATTATTTCTTTAGTGATTTAATTAAATATTAAAAAAATTATAAAGACTCAAAAATACTAAATAATTGTTTATTAAATAACTCATTGAATTATCCAATAATAAAAAATGTCTGTGCAATAACGTATTTGTCTATTGTTATAATTCTAGATTGATGCATCCGCATCCAAATAGCTACACGTATTCGAAGTGTCTTGCTGAAACATTGGTGGTAAAACGAGTATCCTAATCTGTCTTGCTGCATTGTGAGACCATCACTCGGTAATTATTGGTATATTTTATAATTTTTCAGTGTTGAATTTGGTAATCTTATTTTTAAATAAAGCGCTGAGAGTTTTCCCTCTTCTAAAAGAAATAGGGTGCATGTGTATACACTGACGTGTGTACATTTATAGTTGCGGTGACGTGTAGGACGTCGGCCTAACGTCTGTGAGCGTTCCTAGAGTAAAAGTGATAGGCAAAATCACTTTTTAGCGAAAAAAGAATTAAAATTGTGTGAAACGTGTAAGAACTGTATATTAACTTTTTGTTAGAAATATACTTTTCTTTTTTACCCGATAAGTGTTTCACTGAATAAATCCACTTATATGATAAAAATTAAAAACTTCCAACATTCAGAAATCATAAGAGAAAATCTCTCGGCGCGATATACACACAAATTTTAACAGATCTGCACAATGCACTGAAAAACTCGGGAAAAATACAGAATTTCTGTTCACGTCTGCATGCAATTTGCTCGAATAAGCCAGTACAATATAGAATACATTAAAATAAAAAAAAAAATAATTTAAATTTGTTTAGTATTACCAGCTATAAAAGAGCCGTTACCAGGTTGGGTGGACAATCTGAATAGTCCTATAGGATTGCTCGTCGCTGCGGGCAAAGGTGTCGTCAGATCAATGCACTGCAATGGCAGTTATCATGCTGAAATTATACCGGTTGACATTGCAATTAATAATTTAATTGTAATTGCATACAGAGTCGGTACCAAGCAGGAAAAGTATGTAATTCCGCAATGTGCAATTTTTTTTTTGCATTATTAAACATACCGAAAAAATATTCAAATCAGAGTATGTTATTCAAAGCTCGCTTTGAACAATTGCAACACAATATGAGATAACATTTTATTTATTATTTTATGTGCTTAAAATATAAAAAAAAATAAAAAAATCAATATATACACATGTAAGAATTATTCATTTTGTGCGTATTTCTAGTTTTTAAATGTTTTTATGTTACGT